AGTGTGTCAGTTTGTTAGTGTGTGTCAGTGTGTCAGTGTGTGTCAGTGTGTGTTAGTGGTGTCAGTCAGGCAGCAGAGTGGGACACGTCTGAAACTCCACAGTTTCAGATTTTTACACTAAGAGATGAACTGACAGCAGCCCTCAGCTCAGCCTTGCTGTGCTCTATCATTCCAAATGAGTTGTTACCTCAAAGTCTTGATACTGCTCCTCGGTCAGGGACTTCTTAGAAACCACCAGGACCCTCAGCCCTTCCCTCGCCATGTTTCCACACTGGGGCACACAGGCAACATCAGACTGCTGAACGTTTACACACTTCACTTATTTTCAAACACATTCTGTATTAAATACAGACACCTCCTCCTCCAGCCAGTCGTTGTACTGGACGATGCCTGCCATCACCACATCAGCACCCTTCATGTAGAAAGTGATTTCTCCTGTCGATTCATCCTGGAAAATGAGGATAAAAACAGAAATTTATAAAAGTCTATAATTTATGAAGACATGTGAATCGAAGCACACTACATAAAAATGTATCTGATGTACTTTGGTTTAAATATTGTCTCATGGGAGACAAAATCAATAGAAAAACAAGCTTTCTGAGCAACAACCAAWCACAAAGCGGTCAGTCATGCATGAAATGAAGTTTTCTCAGATAAAATGTGTTCATACGGTCTGTTTTTTAATATTGAGTATGATTAACACCCAAACAAACCTGAAAACAAACGGTGAATCTCGTATAAAGCTTTATGTTTCAGTGGATGTGAGCCTGCAGCAGGCAGGACTGAAAGCAGGAAATGATTGCAGCATCTTCTCTGACCAACTTGGTCTTCTTCATGTTTGCCTCGGGTGGTCTGATCCGTGGGTCTCTACAGTCACTTTTAAATACAAACCTTTTATATACAAGCATGCAAATCCCTAAGTGTCTATATGCAAACCTTGGGGGGTGGGCACAGGCACAGGAGGCRAGAGTGGTGCCATCCGGCCACCTTTAGCCATGAGTGCCCACCATAAGTCCCTATATGTGAATGTCATGACATTCAGCTGCTAACATGCTAACTCCTGTAGCCTGATGCAAACATTGGAGGAGTGAYGTGTTGATCCTCACAGTCCTGAATGATCAAATGAAAAACGTTTTGTAAAAAACTGAGAAGTTGTTAGCTGAACAACAGTCATGGGGGATAAAAATAATCTTGTCTCTGTTCTCTTCAGTCTGTAGACACAGCACAGATATGATGGACTCTTTAACTTTAAACCTGTAACCAGCTCTACAATAATCTGTTKTAATTGTTTATATTATTTTTTGTATTCTGTTCCTTTATTATTATTGTAAAGCACTTTGCAATGTTCCGCATTTGTGAAAGATTCAACAGAAATAACGTTGTCTTAGTTTATATTTAAATAAAAAGTTCCTTTGGTCAGAAAAAACACTAAAGATCAAACAAATTAATAAATGTTGTTTTTTAATTTATTTATTGATAAGGCTTTAGA